GCATTTGTCAAAAGAACATCAGGGTCTACGTTGTCTTGTCAAAGCTATGATGTCATGATTAAAATGTCAGAGGAAGATATGGAGCTGGACACATAGGCTCTACAGATTACATCCCCCCCATTCTTGTGGTTGGTCACACATAGGGCAAAGAGAAGGCTCATACTGATACTTGAAGGGCAAACCAGATTAAAGATGTGTAAGAGAGGGGGAAACTGCTGCCCTGTACTGCCAAGAAAAAGTATGACCAGGCAGGTACACCCGAGAGCATGCTGTACTTTTCCAGGTCATCGGACTCACAAGCTTAGCTTGCCCACTTAAGTCAAAGTGGGGCCTCAGTTCTGCTTCCTGCTTGCAGGGCAGCATCCAGAGGCTCATCCTAATGTCCTGGCTTAGCACCAACATATGGCTAAGTCAATAAAAGGTGCCGGCATGACCCTGGAATCTCAACCATGCCCTGTGCTCCTAGTCTGGGTGGCTGGGCACCAGTGCTACCCTCGCCAGTCTGCTCACCAGCACCATGACTGAGCTGTCCTGCAGTACACACCCAGCTGAGAATCACGCTGGGAAGATGGGTCCCACCTGGGGAGCCAAGGGCCACCCCAAGGCTCACAGGAAAAAGGAACTCACCCACGAACGTGCACAAGGAAAGCCATTCCTCTGCCCACCCCCACATGCATAGAATGAGGGGCACTTCAGGAAGTGGCACTCCCTAAATTCTGTACAGTCAGAGCTGGGCGCTGAGTGTGGGCAGGTGCCCCTCCTTGTCAGCACTCAAGTATGCGGGCCCAGAACAGGAGTTTCTTATGTGCATTACTAGAAAGAGACACTTAAAGAGAAGGGGACAGGGTCGGGGTGTGGCTCCCGGGTAAAGCACTTTTCTGGTATGCATGAGTCCCTGGGTGGGGTCCCAACTGAAAATACAGGATGGAGGAGGATGGAGACGAGCAGAGTAGAACAGGACAGACCAGAGCAGAAGAGAACAGAGTAACATCGGGTAGAGTAGCGCAGAGCAGGGGAAAGTGAAATAAAATAGATTAGTGCAGGCTAGAGTCGACTAGACTAGACTGAGCAGAGAGGGACCACATAAGAGGAGAAGGAGTGAAAGAGAAGAGGGTGGGTGGGAGTAGAGCAGAGTGAGGAGAGCAGCAGGGCTGAGGAAGACGTCCGTGAGGAGGGCAGGGGCAGATGTGCTTGCCCGGCCCCTCAGGGACTGCAGCTGTACCTGTGGCTGTGGTGGGTGCGCACATCCCATCTCCACCTGGCAGTGTCCCCAGGGCCTCCCTGATGGGGTCATTAGGTCCTTCTGTCTTGCCCATGGCTGGTGTCCTCTCCTCCTGAGTCGCGCTTCTTGTCATTCCAGGATGATGCAGCCAGGACAGGGACCAGGGCTCTGCATGGGAGTGGAGGTCAGACTGCCACGTTCGGGCCTTGGGTCTCTGCTGAGCCCATTTCCCCTCCAGAGACCTGCTACTGGCCATGGAACCCCGCTCAGCTTGACCACATTAGGTCCACATGTGAGGAGGTCCCCTGAGAAACCAGGGGCCCCTCTTTGTCCCGCTCGGCCCTGCTCCAGGTTTCTACCATGCTGGACATTGTCACAGTGTCCACTTCATCCTAGACCAGAGGGGCTCCATCTGAAGGGTTTCGGCACTGACCTCTCCCCCAATCCGGGGGTCACCCTTGGGGCAGTTGCTACTGCTAGGCACACACATTTACCTGTGTGATTAGTACAGCAATATTGACCTCTCCTGCTGGCCAGCGCTACTGAAACAGCAAGGTCAGTGCCAAATATAAGTGACCAGGCCACTCCACAAATCTTCTCCTGCCTGCTAAGTCTATAGACTCTCTGGTGCTGTTGGCCCTTAGGCGTGTCAGAGTCCCGGCCCAGAAGTGGGGACATGGAGCTCCCAGAATCCTGGGCCTGGGTCCTGGAGAGGGGTAAAAGCTGACTCTGCAAGGCGCACAGGCTGAACCCCCAGCCTGTCCTGTCTGTGCCAGGGGAGCCACAAGGGAGGGCACCAACCAGGGAACCAGAACCTGCTGTGTCTGCTGTGCTGCCCAGAGGGCAGTGTGCTGGGCAGAGTAGCCACCTAGCCCCTGCCCACACAAGTCTCTTCTCCTGACCTCTGCCCACCCAGCCTTATGTCCACCAACCCTGGCCATCCAATCTTGCCCACGCAGTGCCCACCTCACCCAGTTGTAGCTCTTGCTCTGGAATGAGCATTTGTATCCAGTCACATGGAGCAGAGTGGAAGGACTAGAGCAAAGGGCCAGTGGTCACCTGCACAGAATGCCACTGAGGACCATGTTGGGCTTGTCCAGGATGTCAGGTGCACCCCTCCCAGTCTTCCCAGCTGAGGTTCTGAGGCTGAGATTGCTGGTCACGGAGTGTGGTTCTCAGGGGAGCAGCGGCATTCAACAAGACCAGTGAACTGGCCCCAGTCTGAGGTTAAAGAAGCTAGGTTGTGTTATCTGTCCCACCAAGTGCATCCATGTCACCACTTCTAGTTGCTGCCGATGGTGAATTAAAAGCCATTCATGGGCTCCACTAGCCCAAATTGGTCTACTGGGAAATACTGAAGGGAATCTGGGCAGCAGTGTCCAGTGTCAGTTGAGTAACACGCACAGCGTCATCGAAGTGGTGAATTCTGCAATGATCTTCCAAATGGTGTTGCACCCTGAATTACTGGTGCTTGGGACTTGAGTATATTCATCTGGGGGACAACAATCGGACAGCAGGGTGCACACTTTACTGTACCCCAGATAACTTTTCCCATTATCCATGGCTGCAAAAAGCTCTGTGAGATCCCAGAGTTTCTCTCTCTTTCAGTCTGGCAAACAAGAGAGAATGTTAATACCCCAGCAGGAAAAACCCTAACCTAGGACAATGACAACTTCTAGGATTGGACCTTGGAATTGTGAGGCCAGAATCCCACCAGGTCCTGGGGTTCAAATCTCTTTGACTTGGGAAGCTTCTGAGAACTTTGTCCGTAAGTGAGCAAATGGGATGATGAACATGAAAAACACCCATGAGCTGAGCCATGTGGCTCTGGATGCTGTGATAATCACACATACGCCCCCCAGAGATTCGCACTCCAACCCCTCCCCCATAAGAACCATCACAGGCTACTTAGCATCTGAGGCTGATCCTAATTAACTCTGCTGGGTGACAGGTGAATGGGAACAAACAGGTGGCAGTGAGGTGCTATTTATGGACGTTGCCTCCCGATCATTTTGCCAAACTTCTTTCATTTTTACGTAGCATTTTATTTTTGCATATGGAACGTCTTTCAATTTTGTAATCAATCTTCGAATACTATTCATGACATAATAAAACACAATATCAGTTCACTGTGCATTACTCCAGCTCGCTTGCTTGAAAAGGCCTAAAGCGACTGCAGCCCTTGAGAGAGAGCAGGCGTGGGGGAAGGCAGCTGGCCAGGTGTCTGGCTGTGTCAGAAACAAACAGGGTGTTGCCTGCCGGATCTGCCTCTCAGTAAGTAGCTGCCCCCAGGGTCAGGGTTCTAGTTCTCAGAGGGAGGGGACAGATGAGCAGGTGGAAAGTCTGAGGGTTACTGGAGGCTGATGGGGCCAGGAAGGGCTCACAAAGAAGGAGGACTTTGTGGGCCATTGTTCCAGGAAGAGGGACCCGGGGTTCCCCTCGTATTTTCTCTTGGGGACACGTAAGGAAATAGCTGTTGGCTTAGCCCAAGACTGAGATGTGCTGTGGCCAAGCCACCAGGAGCCAGTTTTGTGGCCAGCTGGGATTTGTACAAAAGCTGGAATGAAGAGTGATTCAGAGGGGAGCCACACCTCCAGCTCGAATCCTCTGGCCAGCACCCACTGAAATCCCTGGAGCGCTGCTAACACAGACCCTAACTTGATGCCTGTACCTGGTCACGGAGTGTGGTTCTCAGGGGAGCAGCGGCATTCAACAAGACCAGTGAACTGACCCCAGGCGCAGTGCCCAGGAAATGGGGTGAAGCACTTCCCCGAGGACTGGGCTGCTTCCTAGCCTCTGGTCCATTGACAGGGCGGGTGCAGGAGAAGCACAAGGGGCCACTGCAGGGAGGGGTGCTGGGGGCTGCTAGAGCCCTGGGTCCCCTCTGCCTGCGCCCTCTCTTTCGAACTGCGTGCCTGGGACCCTCCGGGTACAGAGGGACAGAGGTCTGGAAGTGAGCACTGGCTGTGAGCCAAGGGATGCAGCCACCCTGCGGGCGGGTGGGCGGGAGGCACTTGCTGTCACTGGTTTCCTTGGGGCTAAAACCCCTTCTCGGGTCCCCAGCTCCGACTAGCACCAGCCTGACCCCTGCTTTCCCCAGCTTCTCCGTGGGCTCGTGCGGGCATCCGGAGACGCTAGTGGGTCGCGCACCCGCAGGTCCCCTAGGAGGAGCGGCAGGAGAACCGCCCCGGGGAGTCCCGACGCCGGCAGTCCCGGCATCTCCGTTCCCCCTTTTTTACGGTCCTGCTCGGGCTCCCGGGGGCATCGGCCCGACAGCGAGGGCCGGGGTGCGCGTCACCGGCCGCGCATCCCCTTCCCCGGAACCGCCCGGCTCCCGCGCCTTCCAAGGACCGGGAGGCGCGCGCCGGGGAAACGGGCTTGGGGCGGGGCGCGGTGGTGGTGGTGGTGGTGGTGGGTCGCTGCCGCACACGGGGGCGCAGGGCGGGGGCCGGTCCCGAGGCCGGGGGCGGGGGGGCGGCGCGGGGCGGTGCGGTCCCGCAGGCCGGGGGCGGGGGGCGCGGGGCGGTCCCGCAGGCCGGGGCCGGGGGCAGGGGCCGCGGGGCGGGGGCGCACGGGGCGGTCCCGCAGGGCGGGGGGCGCGGGGCGCGGGGCGGGGCGGACCCGCGGGCCGGGCTGCGGGCGCGGCCGCTGCGGGGCCCCGGGAGCCGCCGGCGCGGGAGGCGCAGTGCGCAGGCGCCCGACTCCGCCGCGCCCCGCGCCCCGACTCGGCCGCCCGCGCCCGCCCGCCGCGCGCCCCGGGCCGGCGAGGGGCGCTGGGATGGCGGCGGCGCGCGGCGCGGGGGGCGCGGGGGGCGCGGGGGCCGCGGGGGGCGCGGGGCTGCGGGCGTGCGGCGCGGGCTTCGCGTGCCCCGAGCTCGAGGCGCTGTTCGGCCGCTACGCGCTGCGGCTGGAGCAGGCGGCCGCGCTGCGGGCGCTCGCGGTGCTCAGCCTGCTGGCCGGCTCGCTGGCGCTGGCCGAGCTGCTGGGCGCGCCGGGCGCCGCGGCCGGCCTGGCCCGCGGCTCGCACCCGGTGCACTGCGTCCTCTTCCTGGCGCTGCTGGTGGTCACCAACGTGCGCGCGCTGCGGCCGCCGCAGCTGCGGCAGCTCGGCCGCCTGGCGCTGCTCTTCTGCCTCTCCTTCGCGCTGCTCTGCTGCCCCTTGGCGCTGGGCGGGCCCGCGGGGGCGCACGCCGGGGTGGCCGCGGGCCCCGGGGCCGCCGAGCGGGGCGTCTGGCAGCTGCTGCTGGTCACCTTCGTGTCCTACGCGCTGCTCCCCGTGCGCAGCCTGCTGGCCGTCGGCTTCGGGCTCGCGGTGGCCGCCGCGCACTTGGTGCTCACGGCCACTGCGTTCCCGGCCAAGCGCCCGCGTCTCTGGAGGACGGTGAGTGTCGCGGCTGAGCCCCTCGCCTGGGGGGGGGACCCGGAGACGGGAGGGAGACAGCGGGTCAAGGTCACTCCAGGCTGGGGACTGAGGGCCGGCCCCCCGGGGAGCGCCTTCGAGTGCCGGTCCCCGAAGAGCCGCGGCGCGAGGCCAGCCGGGACGGGTCAGCACTGGCCCAAGGTCAGGAGCCGCAGGGGCCGAGGTGGGCCTGGATTGGGGTCTGCTCGGGGCCAGCCCGCTGGGAGAGCGCGGTCTGGAGCTATTGGGGATTTGCCACCGGCAGCGCCCTCCCGGCCCCTCGGGAGCGGTGGCGAGAAGGGGTGCGGCGCCTCCAGGGGCTGCCCGGTGAGCGATCTCGGTGGGGTCTAGAGGAACAGGCTTTGGTGGGTGGGGGTGCAGGACCCTGGCCCCTGACCCCTTGATCCCAGGGCTTTGACAAGCGGGAGTTCTTGTCTCCGCGTGTCCAGTGCTCAGGCGGGGAGGTGGATGGAACCAGGACACGGGTCCAGAGGAAGGAACAGTCCAGGACCCGGGATCCTGCCAGCCGGAGCAAGGACACGGTCAGCCTCCTGGCCCCTCCCGTCACAGGGCAGAGGCTGCAGACTGACCGGCCTCAGGTCACTGCGCCCAGCTCACCTGTGCTCTGGGGCTTCAGGGTGAACCTTGCTGGGCTTGGCAGGGTCCTGAGGTGGGAGGGAGGGAGCAGAGAGGGGAGATGGGGAGGAGGGGGCGCAGGACAGAGGTGCCCTGCGCCAGTGTGTGCACACATGGCCATCCAATTGTGCCTGTTCATCTGCATGTGTCTGTGTGCATCTCTGTATGTGTCCACGTCGGCACACTTGTCTGTGTGCACCTGTACCTGTGTGTCTGCATATATTTGTCTGTGTATCCGCACGTGTGCACAAGTCTCTGCACACCTATATGTGCACGCACGCCTCTGTGTGGGCGCCTTGTGGTGTGTGACAGGACAGGTCGTCCCTGCTAGGAGAGGCTGGTTGGAGCCACACTGTGCTGTCCCCTTCAGCACAGGTGGGGGTTTGGGACTCCCCACTCTGGAGTCCTGACAGTGCTGTTCCCTTCAGCCCTGGGGGTCACCCACACAGTTTAGCCTGTATCTAGGACCAGAGGTGAGGGAGATCCCGGAGGGGAGCTGGTGGAGGAGGCTGGAAGAGAGATGGGGGTGGGGGGGGGATGTGAGAGAGGATGTGAGGCAAAGGTCAGAGACTAAGACCAAGAAAGAAAAGGCAGGGATGTGGGCTGTGGGCCCAGGGTGCAGGTGATGTGGGGAGCCCCTGCTTCTCTGTTGCGGAGGGTCCCGATACCCTTTCCTCAGCAGCCCCTCTGTGCGGGCTCAAGCTCATCAACTTGGGTGCAGGCTGAGTGGACAGGCCCAGGTCCAGCCGTGCTCCCTCCTCCCGATCAACTGCTCACGGGAAAGTCTGCGATTTCTCTTTTTTTTTCCTTCTTCCTTTTTGGGTCAGACCCAGCAATGCTCAGGGGTTACTCCTGGCTTTGCACTCAGGAATTACTCCTGGCAGTGCTCAAGGGACCATATAGGATGCCAGGGCTTGAACCCGGGTCGGTCGTGTGCAAGGCAAATGCCCTACCCGCTGTGCTATCGCTCGGGCCCGATTTCTCTTCTTTTAAGTTGAAATTTTCTGCAGCCTTTCTTTCCCATGCCATGGGTCTCTCACCACTTGCCTCTCAGGAGGAAAGCGTTAGGAGGGAGTGTCTGGCTCCAGCCAGCCCTGGAGCCCCATAAGTATTGGTCAGACCCTGTTCTGCCCTCTCCACCCACTTGTCACCCTTAATCGAGGTGCGAGGTTCGTGTCCTGGGAACCAGGTCCTCAGTGAGAAATGGAGGCTTTATGTCTGGAGGTGGGAAGGCCCAGCCCTTGGGGCTGGTGTTGGAGAGCGTGGGGGATGGGGCGGGGGGATGGGGGCGTTGTGGGGGGGGAGGGGACAGCACACGTCACCTAGGTTCCTGATGTGGTACCAGCTAATCCCTGAGGGGCTCAGGAGTTTGGGGGCTCCTGCAGAGGGGATTTTCTGGGTAACAGTCTCCAGCTGGACCCTCCTCCTGTGCCATGCCGTTCCCCTGCCTGCCTGTAGGGGGCGCTGGCCTGCCTGTCCCGCCACCCCTCACCTGCTAGGCTTTGTGGTCTGGGGGTTGGTTCAGCGTGGCTGCACGGCTGGTGGGTTTGATTTAGCCGGGGGGTGGAAATAGCGGGGGTTGGAGGCAGCTCACGGCACACGCAGCAGAGTTTGGCTGGCGTGATCCCCATGACAGATGCCCCAGTGCCAGCGGGGAGGACCCCAGCATGGCGGGAGCTGTCAGGAGTGGAGGCGTGAGTGTGAGCTGTGGGAATGTGGGGACTCCTGTGCTGACCAGGGGCTCCGCTGGAGACCCGTGGCTGATGGGTCCCAGTGGGGAATGCCCACCCCCTCCAGAGCGCACTCAGGATGTGGCCAGCACTGCTGACCCCTGGGGAGCCTGGCCAGCTCTCCACTCTCCCTCTCGTCCTGCTGGGTCCCTCCTGCTCCCCTTGGCCCCATGGCTATAATGGGCATCCCCTCCCATGGCCTCTACCCCCATCAGGGAACTCTGGCCATCCCTGCTGGTCCCCGGAAGCTGGGCCCTGAGAGGGCCTCTCCAGGCTTGTCCAGCTGGGAAGGCTCCGGGCCTGGGGGCTCAGACTTGTTTGCTCACCTGTTCCGCATCCTGCTCTCGGCTGACCCGGGCTGACTGGGTGGAGGCTGGAGCCAGGAGCTCCCCGGGCAATCTCAGTCCCCCGAAAACCATGGCCACAGCTGTCCTCCCCCTCCCTTCTGCTCTGGGCCCTGGCGGGCCAGTCCGGGCTCTTGCACGGTCTGGCTCACGGGAGACTGACCGCCTCTTGAGCTCCAGGTCATTGCTGGCATCGCCTGAGGCTGTGGGTGTCTGCTGGGGCCGCGATTCCCTGGAACCAGACCCCCACTGGCCCTGTCCGCCTGTCTGAGTCCCTCCCCTGACATAGCTGTTCTGGCCAGGGCAGTGGGATTAGGCAAACCAGAAGCATGTAGGGTGCTGCCCTCGCCTGCCCGGTGCGGGACCCCCTGGCTCTGCCTCTGTCTGTCCTCTGGTCTGGCTCTTCCTGGCTGCGTGTGCTGGAGTCTGGCGCTGGTGCATGGGCCAGAGCACTGGTCGTGAGGGCGGGGGCAGCTTCTCCGGAGGGTCCTCATGAACCTCCACATTTGGGTGCCCGGCCCCGAGAGTGAACGTATGGGAGGGACTGTCCGCCTCCGGGTGGGAGAGAGGACATCCTCTTTCTCTAGGTCACCCTTGGCCCTTAAAGGCAGGGGAGAGCTCTTCCAGACTGCTGTGCTGGCTCCCAGGGGACTGCAGGAGCCAGAGGGAGGCCGGGGAGGGGTGGGGGTGTGGTGATGCGGCTTAGACCAGGGAGGATACCACCTGCCCTGTCCCTCGTCAAAGCTGCTGGCCTTGCCCTGACCAGAGGCTCCCAGGGGTCTTGGGGGCGTGTCCTTCTGTCTCCCAAACTGAGACTCTGTGGGCCAGGGCCCAGGTTAGCTTGTGGGACCTTTGTGTCCTGCACTGGTGCTGCCTGATAGGGCAGTCTTGGGAGCAGGGGTGTCCCTTGCTTTCTGTGGGGCGCTGGGGATGGGGGTCCTGGTGGCGGTGGCAGAGGGAGCGGCGGGTGGAGTGTGGTCTGGGCAGAGCTGGGCTGCAGTGCGTACGTGTGTGTGCCTGTTTAGGCTCTGCATACTTGTATGTCATCAGCTTCTGTACATGTGTGCTTGCATGTGTGTTATCAGGCCCTTTACACATGTGTGTGCGTGCGTGTAATGAGGCCCTGTGCATACGTGTGTGATCAGACTCTGCGTATCTGTGTATGTGACCAGCCCTGGCCCACCAGGAAACGCCGTCCTGGAGCTCAGAGGCTGCAGGCGCCTGTGCTGTGCCGTGGCCAGCGCACGCTTGTCCCAGCAGTGCCTTGTTGGGGGGCGGCCACAGGCTGGCACTCTGTACCCCTTTCTGAGCGTCCTGAATTTGGGGCTCCATGTGCCAGTCCAGGCCAAGCCCTGCCACTGATGTGGGTGTTCATGCATCAGATAGACTTCCTGTGCTTCCCTGCAGTAGGCCCCGGCCTCGCCAGTGTCCACTGCCCGTATTCCCCTCGGTGGCCCTGGCTCAGAGGGGCTTCCCTGGGGCTCGCCTGTCCCCGGTACATGCAAGGTGCTTGGGCTCAGAGGTGCGGGCACAGTTGTACTGTTCAGCGACCAGGGTCCTGCCGGCCTGGGAGGGAGCCTCCGGGCTCCTGCAGCCAGCAGGGGGCGCTGCCCTCCCCCCTGTCCAGGGCTGCTGTGAGCACCTTCTGGAGAGTCCACTCACTGGCTTGTTGCTGGGCTGCAGGAGCGAGGGGACGGGCCAGGCTCTCCCCCAGGAGCACTGAGGCCCAGTCCCTTCTCCCGTGTGCTGGCAGGCGGACTCTGTGCTCTCCTGCCGTCCCTCCCTCCCGTGGGGCACTCAGCTGCCCTTCTGTGTGCCTGGCTCAGGGCTCTGTGGGGGTGAGTCCTGGACACTCGCAGTGTGTGGTGGGGTAGAGTGGCCAGCTGGTCCTCCCTGCAGCGCCCAGCGCAGCTCCCCAGGGACAGACTCTGCCCAGTGGGAACTGGTAGCCCTCCTGCTGCAGCTGGGGGGAGGTGGCCTGAGCTTCAGAACTGCAGAGATTTCTTCAAGGATGTGGGCATTCGGGGGTGGGGTGGGTGGGCGGGGCTGGAGGCCCCCTGCCCTCCCTGTGGCTTGCCATGAGCTTGTTTGCTCACCAGCCTCCTCAGCTGTGGTGGGAAGCGCCGCTTCCTTTACAGACCCCAGGAAGACGGGTGTGGACAGAACTCTCCAACTGACCAGTGTAGCCCTCACGGAGCTGCAGCGGGGGCCAGTCTCACTCCGGAGCCCTACGGGAGACCCCCGGGGACTCTGTTCCTGTTCTGAGCCCCTG